ATATATATATATATATATATATATATATATATATATATATATATATATAATTTACACGCACTGCCATTGATTGGGCCCATTTTCACATTGCAAATGTTTGTGAGAATAACAGCGTCTGGATGACATCATTTGTTTTATTTTCTCCATCAGTTTGAGTACAAGTTATTTTATAGTGATTTAAATCTTTTTCAGACATTTCCAGGTAATTCAGATGAAACTTCAATATTTGCAAACTGGGTGAATGATTCTGTTACTGCAAGGCATATTCGGATTGAGCTACCACAAAGTATAGAACGTCCATGCCTCCGTCTTGAACTATATGGCTGTAAAAAAGGTATTTACCCAACAAACTGCACTCCATGCACTGTTCTTTTATTTATGTAAGACAAAACGTGGTATACGCGTAGATATTGTTAATTGGCATAACTATGCCTTAAGCATTTTGAAGATATGCATGTTCAAAATCGATATCAAACTCTATTTTTTGGCACTTTATCACATGCAAAACTATACACTATCACTGCTCTCCGCCGGTCTTCCGATGGAGAGCAGTATGTGCATGGGCAAAGATTAATTCAATTAAGTTTGAGCGCGGATATCACAAAGTCGTTTCATTTGAAATTCTATTTGTTATACATAGTGCATGAACAAATATTCAGACACAGACAATATTAGCTACATGAAATTAGAAACCTGAGGAACAGAATCTTGTAAAACTCAAGATATTGCAGGGACCGCGGAGACGGGGGGCTGGGGGGAGGCTTTAGCCCCCCCCCCCACTTTTTTTGACAGCCAAAATTATTAAAATAGAAATCTAAATGAAACTTTCTAAATTAATTAAACCTCACCCTTTAGCCCCCCCACTCTCTAATACGCTCCGCGGGCCCTGTATTGGTATAAAAATGTTGCCGTTTGAGTAAGCATGTACTGAGTTTTACGAAATGTCCTTCAATATACTGTATGCATGGGCTATGATATAGTAGTTCAATATTTAGCTTTGCTATAATCGGTGATATCATTAGGCTTGTAGTGGAAACACGAGCGGCTTCAGATAATGTCACAGTAGCATGCAGGTTTTTATGGAAAACGTTCATTTTTAGATGTGGTAATGCCCGTTATCGAACAAAAAAGTTATTCAAAGTCACTGAACAGGATCATAAATAGAACCATTACCTTAAAATGTCAAATCCGTGGTCAAGCAGGAACGGAAGTTACTTGGAAAAGAGATGGCCAGCCACTGCAAGGATCATCTTTTGAAAAGAATAAGACAGAATACCCCCATGATTTGGTGATTTCTGCAGTGACAAAAACACAGATAAATATCACTTACAAAAATGATCGAGATATTTATGATAACTTTAATTGTACAGGAAAAAGAAATAATTCCCGAAGATTACTTTGTAGATCTGTCTATAGTTGTTCAGCAAGTTATCCAGGTGCAACGACTTCATCTCAAGGGGATATTCCTGTGACCATAACACCAAATATAGGTATAGGATATTGGTAATATACAGGTATAATACTATAAATTTCGTTTTAAGGATACCTCTTATATACTGCACATTATAGTTGTAGCGATTTTCATACTGGTGCCATTACTGCGATTGAACATGCCAGATTACGATCCATCTCGCAAATCGTAACGTATTTTTTTGCTATTTGGTTTGTGGCTACGATATAATGCGGAAGATGCCTTGGCCAGGCTAATTTCCTACACTGTCACTTAAACGATCGATTTGATGTTCAATTGTTTCCAGATAAAAATACATCATACATGAAAGTTATTTCATTGTGCGCATGGCGTCAACAAGGCGTTTTTTAATACCATGTACTGGTGGGGCATTTGCCCCACTGGGCCCCTTCCACTGCCCATGCACCACTGAAGAAAAAAAAATGGCCTATTGCCCCAAAGCCAGCGCCCTAGGACCTGTATTGAGTAAATGAGTTTAAGATTGAAAAGAAGTTTAAAAAACAAAATTTGTTGGTGAGCATACTTATGTTATGTTTGAATGTTTAGCATGCAATTTATTACAAATTTCACCATTAAAGCTTTGTTTTGAGAAGCTGAGATTTTTTTAAAATATGTTCTCAGAATGCAGAAAATGCTATTTCAGAGACCCAAATTTTAAAAATTTCCTGGGGGGGACATGCCTCCAGCTTCAACCCCCCTAGCTAACTTGTACCTGCGGTATTCTGCTCACACCTTTGGCGATCGCATACTATGCTGGGGGAGGGCAAGGAAAATAGGCCCTTTGGTAGTTTTGCCCCACCACTGAAGAATCCTAAAAAATACATGCACTGCATAGCGATGATATAATATCCGCTTTGGTTGGTCATTTGAAAACACCACATTTTAAAACGAGAATCAGGTGGTAATATATGATCTTTGCATGTGTTCATTGTCCTCGCTTCCTGCATTGGCTCATAATTAAGTATCATACATCATCGTAGCTTGTCCACCTAGCTCCAATGATCTGTAAGTCTTGTATTATCAATGATGAAGATGCGGACACCTTACGGATCGGAAGCTTTGCAAAAGCAAGTACATGCAGTATCCAGTGAAAGTGTAATCCTTTTGGAATCATAATTTGATACTTTCGTCGTACTTGATGTTAAACTTACTCGGTTGAAAGAAGTCAGGAGAATTTAAAGACAATCATTTCTCTCTTTTGGCGAATTCTAAAATTTATCTTAAAGTTTGAGCTGTAATCTATTTTAGTTTTGCCTGATGTCTCCGGGATGCCTTCAATCAGCAACATCAAATCACGGTCAACTGTAATAACCTGGGAAGCAGCGGATGATTACTTAGAAAGTCTACTGGAAAGATATATCGTTCGTGTTTCAAATGAAAACTACACGATGAAAATCGATGTAACTTCTGGGACAGAAGAGAACAATCTGACTTATCATCTGCTAAATCTGACAGAATATACATCCTACAAGGTCAGCATTGCAGCAGAAAGTGTCATCGCTATCAGCAATTTCACGGAGAAAATGACTTTCTTGACATTTTGTAAGTAAAATATATCTTTATATCACAAATTTTTGAAACATTTGAGGAAATATTCTTTAGCCCATACAGCATGGGATGGAGGTTTCTGCAAATGTTTTTTGTGCCTTTTGAAAGCATGTATAGCTTCGGGTGGGAAATATATGACGTAATATTTGATGCGCTTTCAAAACCTCAAGCTGCGCAATAAAACTGGATAGAATGCTATATTTCAATCGCTGTGCTTAGATTCGCGCTAAGTATTTTTTGGCAATTTCTTAAATAAATGTCTTGAAACCCGAGATAATTGAAGTTAAGATGCTTCTTGAATGTTCGGTGTAACAAAGATTACGACTGATGTGTCTGGACGTCAGCGACACTGAAATTTGACCCCGGAAACGGCGGTCAAATGTGTGTTAAATTGTGCATCATAACTCGGGAAGTTTCGCGTCAAATTAAAAACTTTTTTTCAGCGTATTGAGACATATTCTTCTTTTTTTAGAATGTTGAAAGAATTTGAATGTACATCTTATTTTAAGCCTACTAGTCTCCATCCAAGGATGTCGGCATTTTCGTTTGCCGAAAAAATAATGATTAGGTATAAAATTCAAACTAAAAATTCTCAAAAGTGCAACCTACCTGGTGTCTAAAACACTTTTAGGGTTAAAGTAGAATACTTAAAGTTATGTTATTCACAATAAAACTTGTCGGCAAAAGGAATATGAAGGAGTGCAAAATTCATAAGTTATGGCTATAAATAGCTCTATTGTTTATGTCGCGGGGCGACCAAACACACTCACACGAACTCAAAATCAACAAAACATTATAATATCAATCGAAACAAATCCCCAAAATAACCATAAAATGTACGTAAAACTGTCCAAAATACTAAAATCGTCCAAAAGTCAACAATGTGCGAATACTGAATTCTTTTGCCGGGGGCCCCTCA